CCCACTTCTACCAAAACTTGGCGGAGGCCGAGTACGTGGTAGCCCTGTACATGTACATGAGGGTGCATGGTTACCCTGCAGAGAAGATCTCCATCCTGACCACCTACAACGGGCAGAAGCACCTCATCCGGGATGTGGTGAAGCAGAGGTGTGCGGACAACCCTCTGTTCGGCAGCCCCCACAAGATCACCACAGTGGACAAGTACCAGGGCCAGCAGAACGACTACATCCTCCTCTCTCTGGTCAGGACCAAGACCGTGGGGCACCTACGGGACGTCAGGAGACTCGTGGTGGCCATGTCCAGAGCCAGGCTGGGGCTGTACATCTTCGCCAGGGTGGAGCTGTTCCAGAACTGCCTGGAGCTGGCGCAGACCTTCTACCTCCTCACTCAGCGGCCCACCCTGCTCCATCTCAACCCCGGGGAGCAGTACGCCACCTGCAGACGGCCCCACTCTCAGCTGCCGTGCAGCCAGCCCGTGGTGATCCAGAACATGCCCCACATGGCCCAGTATGTCTATGACCTCTACCAGCACCTGCTCATGTCTGCCCAGCCACCGGCCGCAGCTGTGGAGGAGGAGGAGGAGGAACCGATGGAAGAATGAGGTGGCCCCATATTTACATATATCCCATAGATTACCTTTCTGTAAATATATCTATTTTCTTTCTCATTTAAATGTTCATTTTGAGATACTGCTGTATATATAAGGAAATATGCTGAATATTTGTCTTCTGTCACTGGAAAATTGTTTTGTTTTTTCTATACACAAATAACACCATCCCCCACTCCAGTAACCACATGGTTTGTTGGTGAGAATGACTCCCTATTTCCACGCCATTGGTAGAATTGTATCGCTGCAGTGTGCTTATGTAAATTCACACAAAAATCTCATGGAGTCTCATGTAGAAATGTGAGTTAAATAAATGCTGTAAGTTAGATGTGGTAGACTCTTCCCATCCCATCTACTTGTTGATGGTTTTTGAACTCAGGTTCCTGGACCCTGCTATGAACTACCAATGCTATCCTGTACAACAACCTCCCTGTAAAGGACAACACCTAGTTACAAATCCAAAGTTTCCATTAGGGAGAGATGTCCTCTTACTGGAGAGTTGCTACAGTAGAACTACCTCCCTGTAAAGGACAACACCTAGTTACAAATCCAAAGTTTCCTTTAGGGAGAGGTGTCCTCTTACTGGAAAGTTGCAATTTTTTTAGTTGCTAAAACTTAAAAAGAATCTTTGAGCACATTATATTCAGCTATTAGTTTATCATATTCTTGTCAAATACTATTTTGATGTTCAAGAAACATTTAAGAATTTAGAATACATGAATTTTATCAAGATTTTGATACCAGTGATAGAACAGATAAACATTTTAATTCAATTAATTTGTTATTCAAATATCTATTGCAAGAATTCTTTCAGAAATAATTAGTATTTTTCAAAACATTGTCTGAAATTTTAACTTTATAAAAACGAAATTCAAGTACATTATCAATTTTCAGGACAATTTTTTATTGTATTTTGGTTATATATTTAATCATTCTATATGCAGTTACGAGCGTCATCAATTCTTCATCTCTTAATCATTCACCTCTGTCACCGTTTGCTTTTTTTTGGAATGGCGCCCTCCTATTGGTTGGCTACGATCTCGCCACCTTTGCCCCCCCCCCCCCCCCATCATGCCCCCCCCCACTCGCTATTTTGTCTTTGTAACTATTGTGTTGGAGCTGGTCGCTCCCTAAATAAATGCATATATTAGATAATAACCAAATGGAATCCTCTCTTTCTTTTTCCCAGTAAGAGACGCCTACGGAAGCCAACAGTACATAGACAGATAAAGCACATAGGCTATAGTTATTAACTAACATATGCAATTATTTAAGGTGCCAATTTATAATTGTAACAAATAGTATTTGAAACAAAACATTCAATCGGGTAAAACACGGGCATTGCTCGGGTCATTCGGCTAGTATATAATAATGATAAGGCACAATTTGGATTATAGATTATAAACACAATGTAATAAGACCAAATAAATCAATTGTGTGAGACGTTTCGGTAACAGCGTTGTTACCATCTTCAGACAAAAGTACAAAGTAACAAAAGTTTCAGTACTTTTGTCTGAAGATGGTAACAACACTGTTACCGAAACGTCACACACTATTTATTTATTTGGATTTGGTCTTATTACCTTGTATCATATATAATAATTTTATCTCATATTTTAAAAATTATTTTAGATCCTTTTATTAAAATTTTACACATATAAATTTACTGGCAATACGCTTCTTTTAAATATCATCAAATATTATCTCTACAGACCTTACTGCAATGATATGAGTTATTGAATGAGAGGGCTTGGCTCATCAGTACTGAACCCTCTCAGCGGTTTCGCCAAATTAATCTCTAGACCGCTCTACTATTGTATTGGATTGGTTTGGAATATACCCTGTATTTTCTATGGAAGGCAGCTTAGGGGGGTTTAGTGAACTAGGGACATAAGCTTATAGGTCTGTAGAGGTACATACATAAAATTTCAAGGTATTGCATCGAGCAAAGCTCTTCCGCAAAATATGTAATGATAACAGTATAAACGTCACACACTAATAAATTATTTGGATTAGGTCTTACTTTCTTTTATTATAATCTATAATCCAAATTGTACTTTATCATTTCAATGCTTCATTTCTTTTTTTCTGAGTGAGTCCAGCTCTCACACTAATAAGTGACCACAGGGAGCACCAATGCCTTTACAAGTCTCCTCTTTGTCTTGAAAGAAATGCTTCTATCTTCCATAATCTTGTCCAGTTTCATCATTGAGTCTCTTCCTAGTGCTATTCTTCTTTTTACTTTCTCTAAGCAACTTCCCATATGGTCAATATATATAAAATAAATCAATAAATAAGATAATATTTATTCTGATACACTAGTACCTTTCTTAGTGGACATCTCTAAACAATGGACAGTTTTTATCACAAAAATTGTTCTCCCATTGAAAATATGTTTGCGCTAGTAGACATCTCCAAACAATGGGCGCTCTTCCAATGCATAATTTATTGATTTTATAAGTTAGAATGACTTTGTTGACATCATCTTTGAATCCTTCCTTCCTTCTATTCTGAGAAGGAACAAGATTGGTATCTATGACCACACTAGACTGACTCATTTACAGATACTGGAGTGTCTCACCTCCTCAGACATGCTCCTGGATCCCGGTTCTTCAGCCTCCATCCCAAGGCAATGAAGAAGACAAGTTGTGGTGAAGGCTACCACTTACAAATACCATCTTGGTCTTGAGGTGGATAATGCAAGCCACCCATCGCCAGTTACTCATGGTCCACAGTGTTGTTCTTCTGGTCATCTACGGACAATGACTTTCCAGAATGGTTTCAAGGTTTCCCCACTATGTACTAAGTGCAATTCTCAGCCTGCAACCCCAAGACATTATTGACTGTATTGACTCATCCATTGATGAGCTCTACTCTTCCCCGGCAGACACCATCAAAAGTCTCAAGCTTTACAGGCTTGATACCTTAGTGTGATTTGAGTGGAGATAAGAAAGAAAGAAGAAGTGTTGTACTTGGTTTGACACAATCTTTCCTGCAGTGGAAGCCACTTATGTAAACCCTAGCCATATACAGTAAAATCCCGCCAAAACAAACCTGGGTTATAGTGAACCTTTCCTTTTAATGAACCTGAAAAATAATCCCCATTTTATTTATAATACAGTGAACTACGGCTATAATTACAAGGTAATAAGACCAAATAAATTAATAGGGTGTGACATTTTGGTAACAGCGTTCATACCATCACACTATTAATTTATTTGGATTTTGATCTTATTACATTGTAGCTCTAATCTATAATCCACATTGTAACTTATCAACATACTAGACGAAAGGCCCGGGCAACGCCCGGGGTTTACCCAAGTGCGAATATATTTTAAAAACGTTGTCTTGGGTGGTCGCTATTGACAGGGTGGTCTGTATAGACAGGTGGATGTATCACACAGCTGATAACAGGGTTGTCTAGAGTGGTCGCTATAGACAGGGTGGTCTGTATAGACAGGTGGATGTATCACACTGCTGATAACAGGGTTGCCTAAGGTGACCGCTATAGACAGGGTGGTCTGTATAGACAGGCAGCTGATAACAGGGTTGTCTAGAGTGGTCGCTATAGTCAGGGTGGTCTGTATAGACAGGTGGATGTATCACACTGCTGTTAACAGGGTTGCCTAGAGTGACCGCTATAGACAGGGTGGTCTGTATAGACAGGTGAATGTAACACACTGCTGATAACAGGGTTGTCTAGAGTGGCCGCTATAGACAGGTGTATGTATCGCACAGCTGATAACAGGGTTGTCTAGAGGGGGGCAGGGAGGCCACGTGTTCGCTGGCAGCCAATGGGCGCGCATTCTATCCGTGAGCTTCAGACAAACAGACAGAATAAGGCAAATATATAAGTAGATATAGTCACGACCGTCGTCTTTCCTCATCGCTGTCACGGATGCGCGCGCATCATCATTATGATCATTTTCATTATCTAATGATAATAATAATAATTATTATTATTATATTATTATTATTATTTTATTAATAATATATATAGTCACGACCATCTTTCCTCATCGGCCTCAGTCACGGATGCGCGCGCATCATCATTATGATCATTATCATTATCTAATGATAATTATTATTTTTATTATTATTATATTATTATTATTATCAACATATATAGTCACGACCGTCATGGGCCGGCCGGTTCTGTCACGGATGCGCGCGCACAGGGAGGTCACGTGCTCGCCGGCAGCAACGGGTGCGCGCCGCCGGCCTTACGTCATAGATTATAAACACAAGGTAATAAGGCCAAATAAAAAAATAGTGTGTGATAAGGCACAATTTGGATTATCTACTTATATAATTGCCTTATTCTCTCTGTGTGAAGTTCACTGTGTGAAGTTCACGGATAGATTTTGGTCAGAATGGATAAAATAAAAAAAGTGTCAAGGGATGGGAATCGAACCCACGACCTTCCGCTTACCGGGCAGATGCCATGAACACTAGGCTACCCTGGACATATTTTTCCGTTCACATTTTTATTTTTATATTTTCAAGACACACACAGTTTGGGGCGGGACGTTTCACAAGAGAGACATCCACGGCGCCAATTTATAATTGTAACGAATAGTATTTTAATTGAAACATTTTAAAAATATATACGCACTCGGGTATAACCCGGGCGTTGCTCGGGCCATTCGTCTAGTATATATATAGTCACGACCGTCATGGGCTGGTTCTGTCACGGATGCGCGCGCACAGGGAGGTCACGTGCTCGCCGGCAGCCAACGGGCGCGCGCCGCCGGCATTACGTCATAGATTATAAACACAAGGTAATAAGGCCAAATAAAAAAATAGTGTGTGATAAGGCACAATTTGGATTATCTACTTATATAATTGCCTTATTCTCTCTGTGTGAAGTTCACTGTGTGAAGTTCACGGATAGATTTTGGTCAGAATGGATAAAATAAAAAAAGTGTTCAAGGGATTGGAATCGAACCCACGACCTTCCGCTTACCGGGCAGATGCCATGACCACTAGGCTACCCTGGACATATTTTTCCGTTCACATTTTTATTTTTATATTTTCAAGACACACACAGTTTGGGGCGGGACGTTTCACAAGAGAGACATCCACGGCGCCAATTTATAATTGTAACGAATAGTATTTTAATTAAAACATTTTAAAAATATATACGCACTCGGGTAAACCGGGCCATTCGTCTAGTATATATATAGTCACGACCGTCTTTCCTCATCGGCCGCCTCTGTCACGGATGCGCGCGCACAGGGAGGTCACGTGCTCGCCGGCAGCCAACGGGCGCGCGCCGCCGGCATTACGTCATAGATTATAAACACAAGGTAATAAGGCCAAATAAAAAAATAGTGTGTGATAAGGCACAATTTGGATTATCTACTTATATAATTGCCTTATTCTGTCTGTGTGAAGTTCATGGATAGATTTTGGTCAGAATGGATAAAATAAAAAAAAGTGTCAAGGGATGGGAATCGAACCCACGACCTTCCGCTTACCGGGCAGATGCCATGACCACTAGGCTACCCTGGACATATTTTTCGTTCACATTTTTATTTTTATATTTTCAAGACACACACAGTTTGGGGCGGGACGTTTCACAAGAGACATCCACGGCGCCAATTTATAATTGTAACGAATAGTATTTGAATTAAAACGTTTTTAAAATATATACGCACTCGGGTAAAACCCGGGCGTTGCCCGGGCCATTCGGCTAGTATAGCTATAACGACCATGGCTATAGTGAACCAAAATTTCAGTTCCATTGGGGTTCACTATATTTAACTGTATCGAACAGCTGGTGGACAAACCCTGTGCTCCTTCCTAAACTTTGAGGGATTCAAAAATTTGAGTCTATATAGAGAGTTGTTTGCCGGTCCCAAGTCCTGATGAAAACAGAGGAAGGGGAGCAGTAACAAGCTCACTAAAAAACCTGGGCTCAGCTGGCCTGGCTGATAGTACCCTGTAAGGGCTCCTAATCCAGGTATACAGGATGAGCAACATTTTTATCCACGTTAGGAGCGGCAGCACATGGCGTCTGTTGTGTCACATACAGGTTCTGCACCCTGCAAGCCTGAAATCCCAGCGTCTTCGAGGCGACAAGAGGTTCCTGCGGCCTCCATACCTGCTGGCTCCAAGCGACCGTCGAAGATCTTCGATGGTGCCTCTGCCCTAGCACGCACAACGCGTGCTTCATTCTCGGACGTGCGACACTTGGAAACCTTCTGCCAGCTGCTGGAAAACGCCAGCTCCAGCTTGCGGAGCACGAGGCGGAAACCATTGTTCCTCGGGGATCGGCGACGCTCATTACCCACCTCACCAGCCAGAGGGCGCGCGAGCACTGGACTCAGCACAGCTGCAGGAGCACCCTGTGGGGGAGCTGGCTGCTCGTTGTCCTTACCGTGGATATTTCCCGCTCCATCCCCTGGGCTAACCTGCGTCAAAATTGCTTATTGGGGCACAACGCAGACTTCGCCCTACTGATGGCTCTCCACGCCCTACCTCATCCTGCTTCGAAGAGTGCCGCCTGTGGGTACAGCGATGGGTTACAAAACATTCTACGAGAGAGGTTATGAAATCGGTAGAATTTACATAAAGTGTTTAAGCTGGTGAAGTGGTATGGGCCGATTTTCAGGCTAGGAGGCAACATAAAGTTGTGGGAGGATGAAATTCATGTACCAAAGAATCACCTCTCCCTTTATTTATGAATCAGAATGATGCACTATGCTTATCATCTTAGTAAAAACGTTACAAGTGGTGAAATAAGGAATGAACCACAATACCAATTTTTGGAAAATTCAGACAAAAAGCCAACCTGCATACCATGGTTTCAGGAATGGCCTTCATCAGTATGTAGGAGGTTATGAAATCGAAGCCACCTCTGTATTGATGAGAGTCATAACCCTAAACCATGAAATACAGTGTTATGTATTTATATTTAATCTGACCCCTTTGTCTGAATTTGCCAAAACTTGTGTTGTGGCTCATTCCTTATCAGGACTGGCATCGTTTTAAGGCATAAATAAAGAGGTGCCTCTTTGGTATATGAAATGTTATTGTAAAAGCTTGTTAGATATAACTGAAAGAACTGCACCAATATCCAAATACACTCAGGTGTCATAAGTGAAAACTCTCAACTTATCTTGGCACTAAATAAAATGATCTTTTATAAAATAAAATGTAAAAAAAAAAATTGCGCTTTGCGTATCTAGCAAGAAGCTCACTTTCCCTTCTTTGAAAGATTAAAGGAGAACAATATGAAATGAATAATTTTAATTGAAAAGGATAAGTTATTTATTGTTAATTTTTTACTCGGACGAGGATCAAACATCAATGAAATAAATGACCAAGCTGCTTTCATTGCAGTTCAGACAATTTCATCTTGATTTATATAAAGTGCTTTAGGACATAGGAAATTTTTAAAAATATTACAATGCCTAATATTTTTGGAATTCAATTTATCTTAAATTTATAAGTGTGCAAAAATGATGGCGATAGGAGAAAAAGGATTTTAAATATATAGAAAAAAAAAAAAGTAATGAGATTTGATAATACTGTAATGCGTTTGTCTGTTCTCTCAATAACAACGCCATGTCTGGTTAAATGTCTTAAAGGCCGAAAGTTAAAGCAATTAAATGGGGGACGATACTTGTGATATCCAGATTAAAGGTATTTATTTAAAGTAATTTGCAATATATACAATTTTCTGAAACGCACTTTCAATTTGAAACTACATAGATAACTATAAAATTATTTTTATTATAAAAAAATAAATAAAAATTAAAACGAATAATTTTTATAGTTATGTATATTTATCACTTGCACATTGTAGTATCGATTCTTTTAAAGAATGCATATTCTAAATTTAAATGCATTTCTTTTATTTTAAAAAATCTAAATGCACAAATGTCAAGTGATGAAATATAGCATATATTTTTACTTCATTTAAAAATTGTATCCATGCATGTTGTTCAAGTTAAATTATCAACAAAAATAGAGATAATTTTAAAATATTTTTAAAAATACAATAAGCTAAAATTTTAATTTTGGAATTTTTTTTTCCACTTTAATAAAAAAGAGTAAATAGAAGATGTGCATTGTATAATATATGTCTAAATTATATTTCTTACAGATGGAAAATATTTAGGATTGGCTGTTGGAAAAATTTGTCAGTTAGAATGACACATCAGGGCATTTACCATTTTCTCTACTTTTAAACTATTTAGAAATATTATTTCTCAAGATTTACAAGCTTGATACCCTAATATGATTGAGCAGAGATAAGAAAGAAGAAGACATATTATTTATGTTAAAATTATGGTTGTGTGATTAAAAAAAAAACATTTTACAAATGTAAATATTTGAAGGTTTCAATGATAAAGCACAATTTGGATTATAGATTAAACATCACACACTATTAAATTATTTGGATTAGGTCTTATTTTCTTGTATTGAAGGTTTCAAATATGGATTTATCATTTTCAAGGTGAGATAGTTATTTCTGTGGCTTTGTGAAAGCTTGTCACTAAATGTGTACGATGATCTTCTCTACTCTCAATTGGCTAAAAACAGCAAATCTTATTTGCACGATGAGTAGATTCCCTTTTTATAATTTATTCACCAGATGCTAGTACAATTTTACTTTTGTAGCCATTTTTCACATATTTGGGTGTTCTCAAGCACTTCTTCTTTCTTATCTCCACTCAAACATATCAGAGTATCAAGCTTGTAGAACTTGTTGATGGTGTCTGTGGCAGGGGATGAGTAGAGCTCATCAATGGATGAGTCAATACAGTCAATGATGTGTTTTGGGGTTGCAGATTGAGAATTGCAACACACATTTCTGACCTTTAATACCCATTTAATGATTTTTCAGGAAGCCTGAATGACCAGAGTTTTGATCATTGAGGTACAGCTTACACTACACTGATGAGGGCCAACAGCCCGAAACCCATACATGGTTAGCTTTTCTTGATTAATCAAGAATGGGTATTTGGCCAATTCTGGAATAATTAAATATCAATGAATGCAAGGGAATAAGACCAAATCCAAATAAATAAATTGGTCTTATTTTTTTTATTTAGTCTTATTACCTTATGATTTCAAAGAACTCTTCCTAGTAAACTTTGAAATGAACCAGGCGATAAGGAAGATGGGTGTCTTTTTATATAAAACGAACACAAGCTTTCGGGTAAAAACCCTTCTACAGGCGGCTATCACATAGCAAGATGGATAGCCACCTGTAGAAGGGTTTTTACCCGAAAGCTTGTGCTCGTTTTATATAAAAAAGACACCCATCTTCCTTATCGCCTGGTTCATTTCAAAACTTATTACCTTATGTTTATAATCTATAATCCAAATTGTGCCTTATCATGTCAATGGATAGTTGATATTCAATCTGACAGATGGCACAAGCCATCAGCAACTCTTATTTGCACGATCAGGAGATGTCCTTTTCTTAAAATGTGAGCTCCATTGTAACTCCA